CCTTGACCTTCCCCCGGCCTCCCCTACCCCCCCCCTCCCAGTGTCTTGTGTCCATTGGTTATGCTTATATGCATGCATACAAGTCTGGTTGATCTCTTAAACCACCCGCCCCCCGCCCCAACCCTCCCCGCTGTAGTTTGACAGTCTGTTCGATGCTGCTCTACCTCTGTATCTATTTTTGTTCATCAGTTTATAATGGTCTTTATTATCCATAAATGAGTGAGATCATGTGGTATTTTTCTTTCATTGACTGGCTTATTTCACTTAGCATAATGCTCTCCAGTTCCATCCATGCTGTTGCAAATGGTAAGAATTCCTTCGAAAAGTTTTTTTTTTCACTTGGCAGTATCTGTTCCATTGGCACCTGCTGTATTTAGTATGCAGTTTTTTCAATGCTTGCAACTAAATTTACGACTCTCCAATCAAAGAGCTGGTATCCCTCTTGAAAGGTCTGGTTCTAGCTCCATGATACATTGTCCTCTTAACTCAGAGAAACCAGCACCAGCGGGGGAGTATCTCCTTTTCTGAGGTCTGGGTTTCAGAGACTTTCTTCTAAGTATCTAAGTACTAATGATTTCAAATAATTCCAACCCCTTACTTTTTCTCCCTGTCATAAGAGAAATTAACTACTTTGTGCAGCTGCTAATTTCATATTTTAGTGCTCACTCTTTGCCTTTGCAATTCCCTAATACTTTATTAACAATCCTTTTTATTAAATTTTCTCTCTTTAAATAACATGACTCTATCTCCTAATTAAAGCCTATCTGATATAATTAAGAAGAAAATGAAGACATTATATATATTGATATCTTATACAATGATTTTCCCTCTTAGTTTCTCTTCCCCTTGACCTTTCTTACAACTCACTAATTTAATAGAACCAATAAGTACTGACTCAGAAAATAGACTTCATAGCAGAAATCAGAGAAGACTAAATAACTGGCATTTATGCAACAAATATAAAGACATACATGACATATTATAGAGAATACCTTATGAGTAATAGTTAATCAGCTAGTCAAAACTAACCGCAGGAGTAAAATGGGGTCACAAACTCCAATGTTCAGGCAGTTAAGGTAAATGAGTGAAGCAGACAAGGTGTAAAAGAAAAATCCAGCAGAAGAATAGCATGGCAATAAATGACAACTGGCTTATGTCCTCAACATCAGGGAGCCAATAAAAAATGGAAGGAACTACCAAACTGGACAATGTCAGCTCATCAAAGGATGATAGCAGGTCAAAAATGGCAGTGGTGGCTGAGTCCCGGGTTTCTGGGCTGATATATCAGTTTCAGCTACAGCTGGCTCGGCCTATGTCCATTGGTGCCCATGACGAGGAGGGCTCAGCTTGCATGTGGAAGGCCCTCACTTCCATTGCACTCCTGGGGGTGGGAGTGAACATGCTGAATGTCTTTCTGACATGGCACCATGCACAAGAGGCCGAGATCATTGCCTATCCCCATCTCTGCATCAGGCCCAAGTCCTTTCCCTGGGGAGCCGGTAACCATATTCTATTCCATAATCCTCATACGAATGCACTTCTCATCGGCTATGAAGATTAATAAAGAGAACCTGGACCACTACCCAGTGGGGACCACAGTCGGGTTTGGACCATTATTCTGCATGCGGACCTCAAAAGTGTATGGGATCTTAAGCTGACCTTCTTTCCTAATATCATATGATGACTAGAATATACTATTCTTCCATCTCTTTGCTTATGGAAGGAGATGGCTCAAATAAATAACTTAGATTGGACATAAAAAAAAAGACAACAGCCATTGTCTGGGCAACAGCAAGTGTCTGGACAATTAGTACTATGTGGGAACAATGACCTATTGGTCTTCAAACTTTGGATATAGTCTTTTGCAAAAAAGCAAAAAATTTGGATTTTTATCTGAAATCATCTTAGTTGTAAATGTTGTCACTTTTCAACTTTTGGAAAAGCATTCTGAAAACAAATCATGATGTTGGGCCTGACCTGATCTAGGTATCAGCTTGTGACTAATGGACAAGACATTTGTATTCCTCTGAAATAGAGATCTTATCAAGCCCCAAGTGTAGGTTAAAACAGAAATTCTTGGGAGACTTGGGCAAATGTGTTTAGGTAGAAGAAATTTAATAAGAGTCAGAGAGCTTCTTATAGGAAATTAGATTGATTTTTATACCCCCTGAAGGTACTCAAGTTACATACTCAATGACAACTGACAAAGGAATGAGAAAGTTCCACAGCTTTTTGAGATCCAGCGTGGTGGGAAATAGCAGAATTATCTGTATATAAGTTAACTTAAGAATCTGAGGGAAACTCAGAAAATTGAATAAACCTTGATATCATGAATGATAAATACTGCAACTATTAACAACATGGACAAAACAACTAAACACAGGACAGGCATGAAGACATATTGTTGGATACCAGCATGGATGACTGACAACATTAAGATCCCAAAGCCATGGACCCATCATGACACCTTGGTTACATAAGATCCTAGAAGATCAGATGCTACTCTGTGGAAAAAAGGATCTCTGAATTAACTGAGATTAAGTTTCTACCACCTTGCAGAATGCTAATTGCTAAAACTTCAATGGAATTAAAAAACTAAAGATAATTTTAACATTGCTTACCTGAGTGTGCCTTTGGAGATTCGTGTCTGCTACAAACTGATTGAACGTAAATCTTAGCTTTCTAAATCTGCACTGGAAAGAACAAATATGTACTTTTAGAAGACATTTTATGCTTCTGACTTTAAAATTTATATCTCTAGCCCGGACCTCCCCCTTGAGCTCTAGCTTCTTAGCTCTAATTACCTTATTTGGCAACTTTACTTGTTTGCTAATTCGTAGATGACCAAACCAAACTCTTCATTCTGCCAACTCTCCCAAATCTAATTCCTTCCTCAGTACTCTCTTCCTCAGGACTGGGACCACCATATGTTTGCTACTCAAGTTAAAAACATAGGAGAGCCCTGGCCTGTGGTTCTCAGTGGTTAGAGCATCAGCCTGAGCACCAAGGGATCATGAGTTCGATTCTGGGTTAAGGGCACGTACCTGGATTGCAAGTTCAATTCCAGGCCCCAGTTGGGATGCACGTGGAAAGCAACCAATCGATGTGTTTCTCTCATCAATGTTTCTCTCTCTTTCTCCCCCTCCCTCTCTTCCACTCTCTCTACTAGTAAAAATCAATGGAAAAAATATCCTTGGTGAGAATTAAGAACAACAACAAAAAAACCAAGGCCCAGCCTGCATGGCTCAGTGGATAGAGCATCGGCCTGCAGACTGAAGGTCCCAGGTTCAATTCTGGTCAGGGGCGTGTGCCTTGGTTGCAGGCTCCTCCTCAGCCCAGGCTAGGGTTGGGGCTCATGCAGGAAGCAACCAGTCAATGTGTTTCTCTCACATCAATGTTTCTCTCTATCTTTCCCTCTCTCTTCCACTCTCTCTAAAAATCAATGGAAATGGAAGAATGTCCTCGGATGAGGATTTAAAAAACAAACAAACAAAACCTAGGAGACATTCTTTTCTCCCCCCCCCCCCCCGCCTCCCTCCCCATAATCCTCATAAATTCTATACAAGGTTGATTACTGTGGATTTTACCTCCAAGTATAGTCTCTATCTGTCTACTTTTCTCCATCTCTATTATGACCACTCTCAATCAACCCTCATAATCTCTTGACTGTACCACTATATTAGCCTTCCTGTGGTATGCAGAGCCAGCCCATAGCAATCCATGAGAACCAATTACATTTTCAAGAATTGTGCAAGCCAAAATGTGTTGTGTTAGTAGCTTAAAATTGGCCATGAATGGAAGCATTTACACCATGAAAATAAATGAACAAATCAGGGCTTTTCCTCCTCTCCAGAGATCAAATTAGTAAACACATCAATATATTACTGTTCCTGTTTCCACATTTGTATCTCTTCAATCCATTGACTTTACAACAGCCTACGTAGTTTTTTAACAAATGAAACATGTTGAGTGTCTGCCCTGTTTAAAATCCTCTAAGAGTATCCTGTTGGACCTACAAATATCCAAAATCCTAAAGGAGGTTTAAGAAATTCATTCACTCCCTTCCCTTCTGGCTTCAACTCTTACCTCTCCCTGCCTCATTTTCCACACTTCAGAGATGTTGATCGTCATTTTGTCTCTCTGGAACATTAGACTGTTTCTGATTTGGAGTCTGTACACCTAACATTCCCCCTTCCTAGAATGGGCTTCACTTATATCTTGGTTGGTTCTTTCCTGTCATTCAGCTCTTAGTTAAAATGTCATTTATTCAACAAGGACTCTGAACTGCCCAATCTGTCTCTGTCTAAATCATGCTTCCTCACACCCTTATGATTTTTCTTTATAGCCTTCATCACTATTCAGTTATAGTATTTATTTACTTACTTACTTATTTACTATTTATCTCTCTCATTAGAATGTAAGTTCTGTGAGAACAGGTGACTTTTTCTAACGGTTCTTTCCTCAGTACCTAACAAATGATTGGCAGTCACCAATACTTTTGAATATAATAAAAATATTTTATTCTTACCCAGAATTACATTATTGATCAAAAGTTGTTTTTGTTGTTTTGTTATTAGTGTATTTATAACTTCGTAAAGCCTTAATTTGGAAAAATCAAGGCATCCTGAATAATTAACAATGTTTTTCCTCAAGTATAAAAATTCACTGGAGTACTCTTTCTGTACAATCCCAAGTTCTAGAAAATCAGAGCATTGTCATGCTAAGTCCCTCCATGATTTCAACATAGGATAAAAGACTGGTAGAAGCATTGATGCATGAACATGGTATTTGCTGCTTTGGACTATAATTTATCTGTTTATTATTCTGTTGTTGCATTAGATCTAACTTCCTCCATGGCAGGGGTCATTCTTTTAAGTATTTTGTATCCCTAATACTGATCCAATGCTTTCACATACTAGGGCTCCACAATGTTTGTGGAATTAAAGTGCGTTTAATGATTAAAGATGTTTCTAGAATTTATTAGCGTCCTAAATAATGAGCAGTTTGTCTTATTTTGGAAATGAATCTAAAATGGAGAAGCAGAGCAAACAATGTATCAAATCAAATAGGTAGAAGATGAATGATTTGAGGTGTTAAGAAATAGCTACACTATACAAACCGAATGTGTATTTATCCTAAATGAAATGGGGGGGAAAAGAATTTATAAAAATCACTTTTAGAGGTAATGCTACCTTTTTTTGTCTGGAATCAGGGTCCTAAAATCATAATCAGTTTTAAAAGATTATCACAAAAATGTTTTCTAAGGTGTTGGGATAAACAGGATCGACAAGATCTTCTCGTTTGCAGAGTATTGATATGCTATTTAAGCTAATGGTTGGAGCTGAACTGAAGAATACAAGAGGTAGCTGGGCTTAAAATTTCATAGGGAGAAGAAAAGAAAAGAAAGATACTGGAAACAGAGTGACTTGAGAAGGGATTGGTGAAAATTCCAAGAAGGATTTCTAGTTGATTGCTATACAATATGTGATAAAAATCCTACCCTTCAGCAATCCTATAAAATGTTCAATACATTCCCATTTGCTCATTAATGCTTTTGAGATAATAGTTTCTTTAGGGAGGGTAATATCTAGGTTTTATTACTTCATATGGATTCAGTAACTAGAAATAGTTTTCTTTCCCTGAAGCCTCCATTAAAAAAAAATAGGTCTCTATTTTTCAGTAACCTTAGCAAAAAGTTGCCTGTTTTAAGAGCATGCATGGTTTCCCATTGCTCTTAGAATAAATATCAAAATACTTAATAGAGACTGCTAAACCCTAATCTGACCCATGGTTATCTCTGAAGGTCAATCTTCATTTTCACCTTGCTCTCTGCCCCTCTGACATATTGGCCTTCAAAATCCATCAAATATTCCCATGTTACTTGTTGTCACAAAGGTCTTTACTACACAATTTCTTCTTTCTAGAATGTGCTTTCTTCCACCTTTCACCTTTACCTATTGCCCTTCATTCATTCTCAAATATCAGTTCAAGAATTGGTTCAGCAGGGAAGTCTTTCCTGACTGTACATTCTATAGCAAATTTGATATACGACTATGTTTATCTTTTCAGAGCTTGTGCCTCTGTTTATAATTATATATTTATTCGTGTGATAACTTGCTTAAGGTTTGAATACTCTACTAGGCTGGAAACTTCTTGAGAGAGATGTCATTTTGAAATTATCATTTTATCTCAGTGACTGGCACATAGTAGGTGCTCAACCACATAAAATGCCTCTTCTCTTACCTCCCGGACCTTTCATTCTTTATCTCTTTAGCAAGTTCGTTTTTCTCTCCCTGATCATTAACTGTTTTAGCTCCTCAAGGTTTTGTCCTAGGTCTTCTCTTCTCATTCCTTACTCTTCATAAGATGATTTCATTCAATTTAATGGATTCAATTACCACCTATACAAAGATCACACTCAAATGTCTCACCCAACCAAACCTCTTCCATAACTCTAAATTTATTTGTTTAATAACTGACTTTATCTTACCAAATGATTATCATATTGATAAATCAAATTTAACATGTCTAAGGCTGACCTCATGATTTTTCCACTGTAAA